ACGCTCAATTCACCAAGAAAAAGCTCTTTATCTTTGTGGACAACAGTTCTTGCACAAGCTATGGCCACAATCTCTGCTATTGATCCAACTGCTCCTCCATGTAAAGTGTTATAAGCGTTCTGCCAGAAAAAATGAACATGACATTACAGCATCATAAACCCAAATTTCAACACGAGTTTGGAAGTTAATATCACTGTATTAGGTTAAATTCGACTATTCATATGAACTGAATTGATGATTGAGATTCCACCATTATAGAGGAACTAAATCGAGATTTCGACTGAATTTTCGAACTTAATGTCACTCTTTTTAAGTTCAATTCCAACGATCGTGTGACCTCGATCTATAGTTTGACCAAATTCGAATGTACCAAAATAACCACAAATTACAGAAATAAATAGAAACATTGAGGGAGGGAAATAAATCGTTATGAAAGAACTGTAATCACAGAGAGAGAGAGAGAGAGGGAGATAAATTACGCAAACGTATGGTTTGACGGTGAGGATGCAGGTTAGCCGGCCACGATGGATGTGTTGAACTTTAAGCAGGCTCCGGATCAAATCGGGGTGGACTCGCTCGCCTTCATACTTCTCTGGAACTACGGAGCCACCGCCGACGCTCATGAAGAATCCAGTGACCTTTGCGACGGTTTCCGGAGGCATCTCTTTCGATACGACGGTTGCCGCCATTTCCCCCCAAATGATTTGTTGCTCTTTCTTGATCAGATTTGTATCTACCAACCTACGGTGATAATCAGCTCTACTTTTGTTTAATGTGCAATTTCAGTCCTTTAAATTTTAAAGCTATGCTGTGATTGTCCCTATATAAAATATGCTTAACATAATTGGATGTTTGTCAGGGCCGACCCTTAGATTTTGGAGACCCTGTGCGATTTAACAAAAATAGGCCCTAAATTTTGAAAGATCTCAAAATATAAGCAAAAAAAACTATAAATTTTAATTTTCTACTGCAAATACATAAAATTAAATTTTCATTCAAAATAATACACAAAAAAGACATTGGCTTCTACTTGAAAAGAGCTATCCTTCTAATATTTGTTGAAATAAATTTTTCGATAATATCTTCATAAGTAACTTTATCCAACATGTTACGCTCAATCGTCATCAAAGCCAATCCATTAAGTCGTTCTTGAGTCATTGTAGATCGTAAGTAGGACTTCAAAATCTTCAATTTTGAAAAACTCCGTTCTGCAGATGTAACAGTAACAGGAATAGTCAACATAATTCTATATGCAATAGATGTAATAGGAAAACAATCAACACGTTTTAAAAAATTTAGAATATCAATTGCTGTCATTTTTTCTGTAGGCAAGAGATGTAAAAGTAATTTTAATTCAACATATAAGTCATTTCCATCAATATCCGATTGTTCATCTTTCTTGAGTGAAGTTTCAAGAGACTTACAACAAGACTTTAATGTAATATCATCTAATGAAAGCAATTTTTCTGAATTAAACAAAAAACCAAATATTTTATCATATTGTTGATATTGTTCAAACCTTGTAGTTAAAGAAATAATTGATTTATCAACAATATAAATAAAATATTTAACTCTAAATTTCTCTTGCACGGATTGTGAAGCAATACAAGAAGTATCATTTGAAATTTCATCAAAATGTTTTTTTTATTTTAGGTTCACGTTTCTTAGGAAATATTGGATCAATGCCCATTTTCAAGGCAATATCTTTTGCAGTTTCTAAAGCATTTAAAAACTCATTTTCTCTATATTCCTTAAAAAACAAAATCAACCCCTTTATTTTTTCCATAGCAACATCAATAAGCATATCTTTTGATTGCAATTGTTTGCTAACTAAATTAACAATATTTAACATTTCATACCAAATTACTAATGTCAATATAAACTCAAAGTTACCAAGTTCATTTTTTGCTAAGGATTTAGCTTCACTTGTTATTTTTGGATCATTATCATTTTTGGCAACTTGAAGTAAAGCTTTTTGTATATCAAAAATTTGAAATCTTATAGCTTTAACACTATCAACACGACTCTCCCAACAAGTGGATGACAAAGATTTAGGAGTTAACCCTTTCACATTATCTTTTAAAATTTGCCATCTCTTAGTGGAATTTGCAAAAATTGTATAGATACGTTGTATTGTTCCAAAAAAACTTTCAGCTTTACTACAAGTATTAGCCATATCACATAAAGTTAAGTTCAAACTATGACAACCACAAGGAGTATAAAAAGCTCTAGAATTTATATCTAAATTTTTTTTTTTTGCACTCCTTGATATAATTCTCAACAAAACTTGTCTCCAATGAACTTTTTCTTTTTCTAATTGTTTTTGAGCGGCATTATCAATAGTTTTATTTTTTTGTAATCTTAAACGTAAAGCATACCAAGTATTTATATTTTTAACATGTTCCATACTTGTTTCATGCTCTTTAATTCTAGTGTTAAGATGTATCCAATCACAAAAACCCTCATTTGCTAATTGACCTTTTCCACACCCTTTTCGAAATATTTTACAACAAAAACAAAATTTTTTATCAATTTCTTTAGAATAAACAAGCCAATCTCTATCACATTTTTCCCCATTTGGTAAAGTTTTAGTATAATATGTTGCAGAAAATCTTCTTAAATATTTATCTTTAGGACCTTTTATAATGGATAAATCTCTTTTAGGACCTTTCAATGCTAAAATATTTATCATGTTAGAATCAAGAACATCCCAATTTCTTGGATCAAATATATCAAAAGTGTGAAAATCAACATTATTATCAACATCAACATTAGCATTATCATTAACATCAACATTATCATCAACATCAACATTAGCATTATCATTAATATCAATATTATCATTAACATTATTATTAACATTAGCATCAACATTATCATTATCATCAAGAATAGCTTCATTAACAGTTTGTGTTTCATTTTCCGAAAAGTTTTGTGTTTTTTTTGTTATAAACTTATGCATAGATCCTGCATGAGTTTTATTATCTTCTTCAATTTTTTGTTTTTTCTTACGTTTTTCATATCCAGATGCATATTTTTTTAATCTAGGAGGCATTGCAAATTGTAGAAAAGAAAGAAACGACCTTTTTGTGATTTGTAGATTTCTTCTTGGTTCTAGAATTTCAACACTTCAATTCTTTAAATCAACAAGAAAGCCAGAAAGGGTATCAAAACTGTAAAAAAAACATAATCCAAATCCCAAATCAGCATGATATATTTCAATATCAGAAACCAAAAACAGAAAGGAATTCAGAAACTTGAAATCAAAACATAAATCAGAAATTGCTTGTACCTTCAAAATTTAGAAACTAATTTCCTCACTTCCTTGTTTCTTCTGACTTCTGTCTTACGAATTTAGAATCAGAAAACACCTTCAAAATCATAAACGAATTTAGAAATTTAGAAATTTAGAAATTGTCAAACTGATTAGTGATTGGAAGCAGAATATGAGAAGAAAAAAATCTGATTAGAATTTAGAAATATAAAACTAAGAACTTATTATTAACAATTAACAACTAAGAAATCCATGAAAAAATAAGAACTGCCTTAATTTTACCTACTAATTTCGAATGTCTAAACCTCAGATTGTTGTATGTATCGTTGCTTGTTTCTAATTTCAAAAATCGAAACCTTCTGTCTTCTGATTTCGAAACTTCTGAATATTTGATTTTGAATGAATCGTTGCTTGAAGGAATGAAGGGCTTGAAACCTTGACTTGCAGCTTGCTTCAAAGTTTTGAGAAGAAATAAAGAAGTAAGATTATGTTGATTGCTTGTGGTGATTGGAATCGATGGATAAAACATAAAAGAAGCAATCAAAAGATCAATAATACCGTTGCTCTGTAATGAATGCTCCATGCTTGCAGCGTAATCAGTAAAGAACCCAAACGTTTTTTTTCCCGAAATTTCTTCCAGCTCAGCCGTTCATTCTTGCTTGCGTGCAGTTGAACAAATGAAAAGAATAACCTAGTTTTTTTTGGGCCATTAAATGAGTATACTATACTAAAAATTCTATAAAAAAATTAGGCCCTATACTTTTTTGGGCCCTGTTCATGGGCACTTGGTGCACATGCCATGGGCCGGCCCTGCATCGACACCATACCATTATAAAATATTTACCACTCCATATCACCATATTTTTCTTGTTTATTAATTATTTAAAAAAAATATTTTTTAATTGATTTAAAGACAAGAAAGAGATAAAAAGAGGAATAGAGAGAAAGACATATGATATGGCAAAAGAGACGTTCCCTCATGTGGTGTAGACCACATTTCACCACATTGTGTGGTGTCATGTCAAGACAGAGGTGGTGTGCATATTGTCACCTCATCGCACCCCATGTGGCGTTGCAAATATATTGAATGGTCTAAACAATCAAGCGTGAGGCGTAAATGACAATTTGTGTGTATCATGTATATGTGTCTAACACATATTCAAACGACATGCACGAATAAGCACACTTTAACTGTGTTATACGAAAACACGGATAAACATGACTTTACACGGATTTAATTCATGTCTATATGTTGTGTCGTGTGTTTATACGTGTTTATATGTGTCGTTTGTTCGTATTTAAACAAGTAAATTCGTGTTTAACACGCGTAAGACACGAAACACGGATTTAAAATTTATGTCGACACAATTAAACACAAAACACGAATTTCCAAAACCCATACACGAAAAGCTCGTGTTGTGTATCAAATTGTTGGGTCTTGACGTAATGGCAACACCCATTGGCCTGAATATTAATTTTTTTGGTAATTTAGTGATTATCTTGGTAAGAGTATAATATCTTTACACATGTAATCGTATTCTAAAAATGGTAAGAATTTGATTCATCTCGAAAATCAAACATTACTTACACCAGCATTAAATTTTGCAACAAATACCTGCAACTTTTACATTCCTTTAAATATACCCAAAACTTACTCTCCCATGGCATCAGACAAGCTTTAACATTTTGGGGCAACCTGAGAATACGAACACAAAAACGATCAAAAATGGCTAAACTAAAGTCAATCTTGCTTCTGCTTATGGCGATGGTGGTTGCATCAATGGAGTTCCATCAATCGGCGGCAACAGAGCATGTCGTCGGCGATTCCTTCGGGTGGATCGTGCCACCAACTGATGACTTCTACATTATTTGGTCACTGCACAATGCCTTCACAGTCAATGACGCGCTTATCTTTAATTTCGCCAACGGATCTCATACTGTTGCAGAAGTGACGAAGGAGGCGTATCGGAACTGCGACGCCGGAAACCCTATCTCGCTCCATACCACCAGCCCCGCTAGATTCACCATAAACAACCCTAACAACCATTTTTACATCTGCACCATAGGCCCACATTGCAATTCCCATCAGAAATTAGCGATTAGGGTTGCCCCCACAGCTAACAACTCGTCTGCATTGTTGCCGCATTGATTTTGTATGTGTTCTTGAATTAATATGAGGAAGTTATACTTCGATAATTATACATTTTCATATCGTTTTCCATATGGCGTTGATGATGGATACAATAAAAATATGGATAAAATATGATTCTGTAATGGTGGTGAAGTTAAGAAGAAGATGGCTCCTATATCATTTTTAATAATTATAATAAATTAAATGAAATGAAAAATACAGTGGTCAAATTAGTCATTTTACTCTCAATATAATCAAAACCAGAATAAAGCTCTGTTTTTTGCAAAACCAGACACAGCCAAAGAAAATTTATCATTTTATTTCAATAAATTTCTAAAATCCGACCCTAGCTACACTCCTAGATTTTATGAGGTTTTCCATTTAAAATAGTAAATTGAAATAAATTTATCCTCTCTTTTTTTCACTTCTAAAACCACCGAATATGTCTCACAACCTTCAATAATACAACACACATAAATATATATATTTGAATTTTGAAGCAGTCTTTCATAGAGGAGAAAAACTCCCAAAAAAAAAAAAAAATCGAAATCTTGTTATCTTACCATTAATCATGCCAGAAGGAACGCTTGAAGTTCTTGTCGTTAGCGCCAAAGGCCTGGAGAACACGGATGTCCTATGTAAGCCCTTTCAAATAACAAGTTAATTTAAATTTGCATGTTAATTTATAGGGATCGTTTAATTATAAAAGAAGAGTATATATAAGTTGGTTAATTTGTTGCAGGCAACATGGACCCATATGTTATTATAACGTACAGGAGTCAGGAAAAGAAAAGCAATGTTGCACCAGGCACGTATTTTTTTTATAGGTTTTTGTGATATACCAGAATGAATGTTTAAAAAATATATAAAAAAACATACATATATGTTAATAATGTGTAGGTAAAGGATCTAACCCTGAATGGAACGAGACATTTTTGTTTGATGTTTCGAGTAAAGAGACAGCGGATTTAAAGATCAAAATAATGGATAGCGATACCGGTAATGCAGATGATCTTGTTGGCCATGCTAGGTAAGTTGCATATCTTCTTTCATTTATTTACATATAATAATAATAATAATAAAAACAAGTATAAAATTTAAAGTTTGGGTTTTCTGCACACTCCTAGGGGTTTGAGGTCGAGTGCAAGGCCCTGTTCTATTTTTTTGGGCGAAATTTTGTCCTATTAACATAAGTTAGTTCAGCCTCAGTTCAATGAATGTTAAACGCAGTATAACATGTTATGTCTTGTGTTACAAATTGGACATGAAAAAATGTGTGATGTTGTGAACTTGTTTAGTATCTCGTTGGATGCATTGTTTCATGATGGAGACATCCCAGCAAAATCATATAATGTAATGAAGGACGATGCATACTGTGGAGAGATTAGAGTTGGCCTTAACTTTACAGCCCAGGTTCATGTTGTTCATTACTTGCAGATATTGTAGCATTCACATGAGCAATAATGAACAATTTTTTGTTCTCTATTTTTTTTTTTGTGTGTTCTATGTTTCAGAGAAGTCGAGGTTTTGATCCAACGGATGGGAATATGGGTGGTTGGAAGCAATCAAGCCATGATTGATCATGCAGAAAATTGTGATTGTGGTTGTGATCTTCCATCAGAAATGTAATTTGTTTCATTAATTCAATGTTAAAAACCATATGCAAGTATGTAGGTACAATACAAAAACCATCATGCAAGACATTTTGCTCTTGAATTTTATGTAACTTGTATATTATTATGTTAAAGACAAGTCTATACAGCCTATTGACTTTAGCAAAGTGTTGTCTTGAAAGTTGGAAAGGAAAGAGGGGTTGAAATGCACCTTATATTGATCCTCTAAGGCATCGAGACTAAAACCAATGACACAAAAATTGCAATTTATCTTCTCACCCAACTAAAATGATAAAAAGGGTATTCATGTATTATGTATTTTGCTCAAATAAGAAATTGCCGCACTTTGCTACACCTTTTTTGAGTGGGATAAAAAAATAGCAGTTTTTTCATTTCCAATTTTGTAAGTCCAATGTTCTGTCTTGTCATGTTAGAGTCTATTAGGGCCTTAGCTTTCAAATTACATCCTAAATTGCTAATCACATTACAATCAAAAGGTCAAAAAGATAAATACAAGTTATCACACAAAGAATTGTAAATTACAAGATCACTAACAAATAACAATTCAACGAAAACGAATAAAGAGATGCAAGTCAAGAACAAACCAGCAAGACATACATAAACAACTTCATTATGCACCTTTCCAAAGGGTAAATCCGTCTTTTCTACTCGGAGTGGTCAACCCGAGCTCTTTACGTTGTTCGTCATTCGGGACAGGGCTCACAAACCCGGTCCCTACAAAATGCATAAAAGCAGATGCGTCTTCAAGATTCCTATTAAAACTCAACGATGATGTCATAAAACTGGTTTTGGAATCTGATTTTTTGGGTTTCTTTTCGGGCACCTTGTTTAGCTCAGCACAATTTAGAAATCTTGTGGTGGCTGCATCCCATGAGAGCTCATGCATTTGTGAATCGGTCAGTGGGGCAGGTTGTTCGGTCAACGCCTGACGTGTCACTTTGACGAAACTGCCCCCGTCCTTGAAGGTTCGGCAATTGGGAAACTGCTTGAAGAATTCATTCGAGACGTGATCTGCGCAAATGACGATTTTGCCCATGGCCAATGCTTCTGCTGTTGTTGTGCAGACCACGTCGGTTGTGCTTGGGTTCATGAACACTTTGTAACTGTCATACCAATCAGATTCAATAATTTAAAGAAACAAAATCACTTGTAAACAAAAAAGGGTAAAATGGTCATTTTCCTTACTCGTGAAACAAAGGGTCTGCATGATCACGTCCGGGATTAACCCTAATGGTTAGATTCAATTTCTCAGCAGCTTCTTGAATCTGAACAGAGTCTTCGCCAGTGCCAAATAAATCAACTTCAAGTCCATCAAGTTCCTTTTGATGATCACCAAGAAGCTCAAGCAGCTCCTTGTAGCCTTTACTCCACACCATTTTCCCAATAAAATATGCACCTTTTGAAAACGCCTGGTTTCCAAGTTTCTGTTCTTGTCTCTTTTTCATCCCAATTTCAAGAAATTTAGGGTTAACACCATGAACATTGCAGATAATTGATCTTGGGAGATCCTGCGTAGCACCAGATAACCGTATCACCTGCCACAAAGATTTGTGATATGTCATCAACAAACAGTCATTGTACACATAAAGTTTGTTTCTTTTCTTCCAACAAACAATTTTCAATGTGAGAGGAGTTGGGAGGAAAAAAGAAGGGAAAATACATTAAGTAAAAAATAAAACAGGCCCAAAGGCAATCAATCTATGCAAGAACATGAGAAACTATATGTTTTTCCAGTAATAATTACCTTGTGACAATATATATCGACCACCCATCTATTCATGTATTTGAGAAGAAATGCATAGGCACGTCCATTTTTCTCTCTTTTGACATACTCCAAATAATTTGTGTGAACAATTCCTATAACAAGGCGGAATTTAATCTTCCATCTTTTACCATGGTGATACCATGTTAAATGCTCGGGTTCCTCAAGAACAGCAATATCTGATTCTGAATCCGGAATGCTCTCTGTTATGTCCCCAAGAGCAAGAATGCTTCTTTTACTTCTAGAAAACTTCAAAAATCAATAAGTATTTACTCAAATTAGTTTCAAATTTAGAGTAAACTCCAAACATGGTACCCTGAGGTTTGCAATTTTCTTTGGTTTGGGTCCAAAAAGGAATCGTTTTAATAAACAGTCCTTCTTGACACGTTTCAGACTGGTTTCGGTTTTGGTCCCTGACGTTAATTCCGTCAAGTATGTATAAAATGACTATTTTACCCTTCCTGTCATTTTTACAAGGATTTAACGGACTTAAACTAATGATGTTGTTAAAGTCAGGTACCAAAACCAGAACAAAACATGCTACTAAGGACCATTTTTGAAAAAAAAAATATATATATATATATATATATATATATACACATTAAAACCAATCAGAATTGCAAACAACACGGACGATTTTTGAATTTACATGGAAAAAAGTCAAAAACAAACTCTTTGCACAATTTACCTTCCCTGGATAAAAACGTATATCAAAAGTACACAAAAGGTCGGTCCTTTTTTCAATCCATTCACGGACATATTTCTCTTGTTCTTTGGGTGTATCAAAAGTTATCTTGTCAGGGTACAGATATTCTTGATCATTCTTAGATAGCCATGGAATGACCAAAGTAACCTTTCTGTGTCCATCTTTTGCAAGATACGCAGCTCGGAATAGAGGATTAACAGACGTTCCAGTCATCCATGGAAGGCTTGCTGTGGTAAATATCGCGATATGCTCTTTTTTATCCATGTATATTCATTGACTTTATATACTATCAATAGGTTTTAGGTTCTAGATGTTGTATATAGGATTGTAGAACACGTCCAAGACTGATAAATTGCTTATTTGAACTGCATCACAGAGTAATAATCAAACAAAATCATTTATAACTTTTTGTAGCATATTCCAAAGTCCACATACAGACACAAATTTCAAAAATACTTACAGATAAGCTGGAATCATGAACAATTGTCTCACTTTACAGACATCAAATTTCAAAAGTAGGGAGAAAGTTATCGTTCTTGTATGTAACAAATGATGTGATCAAAAAACTTGTACAAATCAGTCGACATGAATTGGAAATAAAGTATAAAGAACCAGCTTTTTTCATCAGAATAACTCCTTTTGACTTAACATTTGATGGCATCAATAAATCTGATTAAAAACAGCAGTGTAAATAATAGCACTTACAAAGAAGCCTCATTTCTGTAACTTTTCATGTCTACACAACAATTAATCTCAAAAACTTCTAATAAGAGACTAATGATAAACACACGTGGATTTTTTAATTTCTAGATTCCAAAATAACAAAGTATTCTGGTTATCTCCTTTTACAGAACTGACGCTAGAGTTTCATAATAAGCATTAGGGGAACAAATTCAGGATTTATGGATCATATGGAAAACCCTAAAAACCCTTCGTTTTTGCACATAGAAACATTCCAAAACACAGAATCAATTTGAAGTTTACTTATGTTTAAGCCGGAATCATGAACCATTTGCTGATGAAACAAGATAAAGAACCATAGTCCTGATTTAAGAGCATAGAATTCCAAAATTAAAATAGGAGAAAATTTATCAGTCTGCAACAAATTGCGATCAAATATTCGAACAAATGACTCCATATGCAAATTAAAATAACGTTTTTATGCTTCAGAAAAACTCGTTCTTGCCTTTGTTTTCATGATGAACTAACATATGAGGGCACGAATAAACAATCAACCATATAAACAAAATGGAATCAAGAACAGCAGAGTAAATGAAATCAAATCGGAAAAGAAGATCCAATCATGAAAGAAACGGTCTGTTACAAGTGAGATAAAAGCGTACCTCTTACGGGAAACAAGGCATGGTTGGTAAACAAGAAAACTGTACGCAGCTTGATGAAGAAGACGAAGGAAGAAACGGGAACAATCAAACGCTTAATGAGATGTTAAAGCAAAAGATGCGAATATTCAAAATAGAATTTCCTTCCTTTTATTGAAAAAATTGGTTAAATCAAGAATCCATAATTCTACATTATTGAGTTATATAATATAATATTATAATAACAAAAAATCGAAAAAAAATGGTTAAATCAAGAATCCACAATTCCACATTATTGAGTTATATGATATAATATTATAATAACAAAAAATCAAAAACTTGACAATGATGCATCACAAGATATTTTTTTTTAATTCATTCCTTAATATAAAAAATTAAAAGTATAATATTATACTAAACTAGGCGAATGCCCGCGCGTTGCGCAGAAACGCCTATATAGTTGAAGTCTTTACAAATATATGTTTTTTTTAAATATAACAATAACGTTGTTGTTAAATTTGATATAATAATTTTTATACTAAATTGATATAATATATTAATTATTTTGAGTTATATGATAATATATACTATATACATGTATTATAACTTCATAATCTCAATCGTTTGAATGACTTCTAACCGCGAGTTACACATGAATGAAATTAAATATAATATATGGTTTAATTTTATTTATAGTTGTTGTAATTGTTAATTAATTTTTTAAAATTTATTTGCTTAATGTTTTAATTTATATGATTATAATTATTTAAAACATCAAACATTATTTTTTAATTTTAAAGGTGACAATATAATCATTTATATAGAGTTATTTTTAACTATTGTTATTGTAAGTTATTTTAAGCTGTCTATTTGGAAACTTTTAACGATTATAAAAATATCTTTAGGAAATATTTTAGTTAAATTGAGATTACAATTTAGTTTTTGCATTTTATCACTACAATTTATAATTTTTTTAACTATTTACAAAATATTCTTTGGTTTTTAATTGGAACTGAAGTTTATATTTAAGTTAACATTGTAATGCGCAGAAACACCTATATAGTTGAAGTTTTTACAAATATATGTTTTTTTATATATAATAATAACGTTGTTGTTAAATTTGATATAATAATTCATAGACTAAATTGATATAATATATTGATTATTTTGAATTATATGGTAATATATACATCTATTATAACTTCATAATCTCAATCGTTTGAATGACTTCTACCTGCGAGTTACATATGAATAAAATTAAATATAATATATGGTTTAATGTTATTTATAGTTGTTGTTATTGTTAACTAATTTTTTAAAGTTTATTTGCTTAATGTTTTAATTTCTATCATTATAATGATTTAAAACATCAAACATTATGTTTTGATTTTAAAGGTAACAATATAATCATTTATATAGAGTTAATTTTAACTATTGTTATTGTAAGTTAGTTTAAGCTACTTATTTGAAAATTTTTAACGATTATAAAAGTATGTGTAGGAAATATTTTAGTTAAATTGAGATTACAATTTAGTTTTTGCATTTATCACTATAATTTATCGCTTTTAACTATTTAAAAAATATTCGTTGGTTTTTTTAAGTGGAACTGAAATTTATATTTAAGTTGACATTGTAACGTTATATTTAAGTTAACAATTTAAGTATTTTGTCCAAACTGTTCAAAAGTTGTAGCTTTAAACTGATAATGGTTTACATATAACAACATATTAAATTTAATAAATTAAGTATAATATGTTAAAAGTTAAAGACATAACTTTATAAGTAGAAGTAAATATATTATTTTAAAATTGAAATTTAGTTTATTTATGATTACAGTTTAGGTTTGATATTTATTTAACCTTTATTAACCAACTTATAAACATTATTAGAAAGACACTATAATTTATCGCTTTTAACTATTTACAAAGTATTCTTTGGGTTGTTTAAGTTAAACTAAAAATTTATATTTAAGTTAACCCTATAATGTTATATTTAAATTAATAATTTAAGTATTTTATACAAATTGTTCCAAATATTATTTTAATATTAAAATTTAATTTATATATGATTATACTTTAGGTTTGATATTTATTTAACATAATTAACCAAACTATAATTATTATTAGAAGGAAATTGAAAAGTCATGAGAGTTTCAAATGAATGTGGTGAAAGGAAAAATACATGGAAGTTTCAAATGAATGTGGTGAAAGAAAAAATGCTTCCTTTATAAGTATATAATGATATAATGATAAACAAAAAGATGGTATATAAATAAATACAATTATATTGCTATTTTATATATTTAAGTGTTTATCTATTTATTTGCTAAATTTAAATCGAAAAGAAATCGTGTTAATATTTGAGTTTTTAATTATAGCTCATAATATGTGTGTGATTGAATAACACGGAGAGGTCAATTCAAGTAAAAAAGAAAAACTGTTCACGAGCTCGTTGATGTTTAATTTTGTCAAAGATTATATCCGGCTTTAAACGAGCCAAAGTGATAAACAACTAAATGGAAGAGTTTTTTTTTTCTCCTTTTTTTTTTAATCAAAATCTTCGTCTATTAAAATGTTGTATACATGATAACAATTATGATGAATCTTATGGGGTGTTTGGCTTAGCTTTTCACAGTCCAAAAGTCCTTTTTGGAAAAGTTACAAAAAATCAGGATTTCCTGACTTTTCCAAAAAGTTCATTTTCCTTGTATAAAAACTCCAAAAATAACTTTTAAAACTAGTTTTGCCAAACATTTTTTGCTTTTTTTCTTTTCCAAAAAGGACTTTTGGGCTGTGAAAAGCTAAGCCAAACACCCCCTTAATCCAATTTGTTTTATTCAAAGTACATTTTATTATCGTGTATCGTTTTCTTATTTATCATTGTATTTATCTTTCCATTCATTATATGGATTACCATAAGTATTGTATATTTACTCTGTTTTATGGTATATATATAATACATACGGTAATACATATAATGAAGGGAAAATAAATATAAAAAATAAATACAATGATAAACAAGGAACCGATAAGATAATAGATTCTAATACATTTTATTAATATTTACTGGTTATATTTTAGAGTTAATTTTTAAAAAATGCCTACAATGTTTAGGATTTTTCTATTTAAACCAAAAGTATATTTTACCAATAAAAAACAACAATTTTTCTAATTTTATTTTTTATTTTCTTGGATTTGCAGTTTTCTAGATTACCTTGTGGTAATAATATAATGATTTTTTTTCTTAAAAAACATCGTATTCCCCTAACTTTTACCGAATGACCAAAAGGTTTGAAAAACAAAAATTACATGCCCGTGTAACATTCTGTAATGTTCATAAGTGATTTTTAAAGTTTGATTTCTTAGCCTTTGACCTCCAATTGTTTCCAAAACTTCCATATAGGGTTAAAACAAGCAACATAAGACTAAGAAAGTTGGGTCCTGTGAAAGATATTTTAGTCATTTTTATCTTTTTGAGCATATCATTAGCTGGTGATTAAGAGATCATTTGAGCATAGAAGCAATATAAATTAGAATCACAATATATTGAGGTGAGTATTATCGAATACATGTCCCTCATACAAAGCTAAAAATGATTTTTCGACTTCAACTTATTTAAATGTGTTACACTTTTGTGCTATGTCTTATATTATATTTACATTTATATGTATTTATGGAAATGTGTTTTATAAAAGAATAATGATTAAGAGTAACCGACATAAATTTTGAAAAGCTTTCCATATTTTGATTGTGCATTTATATAATTTGGTCTAAAGATTAGTGTATGTCCTACAACTCCATTGCAAAAGAGAACCAAAGATAATAACGAGAACGTGTGAAAAAAGAACTAAGAGATAGACAAAGATTAATGATAGAAGCATAATACATTGTACCTTCTATTTGTGAAATTTTTATGATTGTTATCTACCAAAGGGTTTTCAAAAGAAAAGGATAAAGAGTTATGTTTTGGACAAGATTCAATAAAGAGTTTTATGGTTTAAGACGTTTTACTTACGATTAAGGATGTGTTTAAGATTTTAGGGTCAAGCGTTTAAATGGAAAAAATGATATTTATACTTCAAATGTTTTAAGAGTATTATTACTTAAGAGTTCAAAAGATTTACAATGTTTTATGATTAAAGGACGTTTAAAGATTTAAAATATTTTTAAGATATAAGGTGTTTTAAATAGCTTGACCACTTTAAATATTTATGATGTTTGAAAGAGTATGATTGAGTTAAAGGTTATTCGATTTCAAAGTCTAAAGATTTAAAAGTTTTCAAACTATTTTTGGAATTTCTTATTGGTCAAGGGATTATGTTAATTCCTTTTGACTTTAAAGATGTGAAATTCTGTTATTATTCACTAGGCGTTCACAATGCCTAACAGATATTTTGATATGTATTCATGTAACTTAGTGATTGGAGTCGTCAAAGAAACTTGGAGATTTAAGAAGGTGACATTTATGTAGTGGACTAGTGGTATGCTTAGCTTATGTTATGATAAGATGATTGTTACCTTCTTTCAAGCTTATTAATGATAAATCTTTTGAAAAGAAACACTATAAGATAGTTTTCCATAAAATGATATTTTTTTTTATAAAATGAATTTCAAATGAATATATATTGATAAATTGAATATTGGTGTTTCAGTTTGAATTTCATAATAAAATAGTAAGAAATTTGAAAATTTAATGATATTTATAATAGGTACAAGTTTACTTAAATACAATGATTCATTGAAAAGAGAAGCTCAAACATAACATTTCTTTAGGTGAAAAGAGAAGCTCAAACATAACCTTTCTTTAGGTGACTTAAGTAAACATGTTTTTTTATGGAAAAAAGATCCACAATAAAGTAAACACAAAAATTAGAGATACGTAAGGTTTTTTTATATGGGAAGTGATATTTTCACTTAATAAATTGATTCATCCACTTGAAATATATGTTTACCAACTTGTACGATAACCACAAATGTTTTGTACTTCATGTGGATGAATGAATTTATTAAATGGAAATATCAACTTCTATTTTTTTTTATCCCTTTGACAATTAAATGATACAATGCTAAGAAAATAAGATTTTTGAATCCTTTGATCATTTAGTAAATTTGGGGATCTGTGAGATTTCTTTTAGAAAAAAAAAGATTTTATAACATGTGTCTAAGAGTATTCATTAAAAAAACATTAACTATATAAAAATCTTGACATAATTAAATATGAAATGCATTAATTATAAAAAATATATTTTTCATAATTAATTAATGCATCTTATATTTAATTAATAATATTTCTTATAATTATGCCGTTCTGAAAAAAAAAATTCTTATAATTAATGTTTAAGGAATATATTCGAAAATAAAAAAAAACTTTCATGTGACTGGTAGATAATCTTAAACTACAAATCAACGAAAATAATTAATATAAAATATTTGGTAAATTAACCTATTTTTTTAATCAAATCTGATTTGTTTTGCTCAGTTTTGATTGGCAGATTTTAGTTTAAGAGAAATTAAAAAAATATATATATTTTTATTTCTGTGTATGATAAAATTAACACCATTCCATTATTAGAAATATAAATAGGAAGAAATTAAATTAAATTTCTCTTATTTTAATGGATATTTTCGATTTAATCACTCGCATCAAAGCTTGAATTTTTCTCAAAGATGGATTCCTCAAGCTCAGTATTTCACCTCTTTTGAAGCCTACTTTAACCCCATTTCTATCGAACCTCAAATCATACTACAATATAAGGCCCCACATGAACAATAAACTTCTGTTACCACAAATTCTTTGATTCAAATCATTCAAAACCTTCGTAGATGGTCGAAACGTCTCGTCGCAAACTATAGATACACCCGAAATTTTTTCAGGTAAATGATTGATTCGTTACCTTCTTGCTCACTGTTTTATATGGATTTTACACATAGTTAGACACTGCGGTGTCGGTTTGTTGTTCATTTAACTGATTGAACTGATAAATCGGATGAAAGTCGTTGTTGTTATTGATGAGATTCATTGATGAACATATTGATCTTGTTTTGAGTTGGGCATCATTTTATTAGTGGAATTGCATGGTATTTGATTTGGATTTAGCTAACTATTGAGTAATACAAGTATTAGATACGTTCACAATAGATTGGCCTGTTAGGGCTCCTATCATTGAGAGAGAATTAGGGATAGTAACTTCACACCCCTTTTAATTGGTATAAGAAGAGATACGGTAATTGCTTATTACTACAAATTCAATGAGTTTTTGGTCATAGATTTGAATTATCGGATTTTGAGATGGCAGACACTTTCATCGAATACTGTATCATTAAGGAATACATTCATTGAAGTACATAGATAATTGGTGGATTGTGAGCATCCATAAAAGAACATAAGTGATAAGTCTTTGTATCAATTGGTGGCTAACACCATCTACAATATTTAGATTCTTGGCTTGAAGGATGTTCTTGGGTCATACAGATGGGCTGCCAAGAGTGGGGTCTTCAAAAGGAATTATCACTTGCTGACCCTGTGTCTGAACTGGATGGGGATGTATCATGGGAGATACTATATTCTGCCTCTTTTGAAGAATTTGCTTCAAGTATTGTAATGTATGACACTATTATATGGATTTCCATATCATTGATCTTGGTTTTAGCTTGGGGAGTTGGTGTCATCATGCTGCTCTATCTTCCCATGAGATTTTATGTGCTCTCTAAAGACATATCTTCACGACAACTCTATGTTACTCCTTCTGAAGTAGTTTACAAGGTACTTTGAAAAGTTACACTCCAAATTTCAGATTTTCATCTAGGCTTGTTAATGCAAAAAATAACCACGCACTTTCATTTATTTGGTTATCATAGCCTTGTACTTTGAAGTAGTTTACAACGAGCTTTCATGTATTTGTTTATTATAGCATCCTACTTTCATTTATTCCTATTAAAGCATTTTACTTTGAAGTATTATACAACGTGTTTTAATTGATTTGTTTATTATAATATCCTACTTTCATTTTGCTGATTTGTTTATTATTGAATTCTACTTTCATCCAAATACAAAGCAATTTTCACTGCTGCAATCGGGTATACTTCTCATAGTATAATAAATTTATTTATAATATCCTAACAATAAGAAAATTTGAAAGTACAATATTATAACTTAGTAGATTTCTCAAAGTACGTTGTCTTATGAAGAAAGCAACTAAAAGTGCAAAGATGTGATCGAAAATAATAAAAGTCGGATGCTATAATATACAAAAAAAAGTAAGTTGGTCTGTTTTTGCAAGTAAGCCTTTGATTTATATGGAGGCTAGATAGATGTTAAGGAGAGTTTTGGTTTTAATTTTTAAAGGTGTCAAGACCATCGTTTATACCTTTTTGGGGGGGTTGTAAATTCTGAAAGGCGAATACCTCTTGCTCGAGCAATAGATATCATTATTGAACAAGGTATTAGTATTACATTACCCTAAACTCTCATCTCACTTGTTTTATGACTTATTCAACATGGCAATTATGTAATTTCTTACTAGGTTGCTTGCAAGCCATGTTTGGAATCCATACCTTTAGACTCGAAAGTGTAGCACAAGGGAAAGTTGCTTATGTTGATGAATTACAAATTCAAGGTGTTTCTAATCCTCAACTTTTAAGAAAGGTAAATGCTTTTTTTTCCCATTAAGTGGCTGAATAGGTAGCACGATGTCTGTCTTGGTGAGAGAGATTAAATGACCATTTTACCCTTACTTTTCTGAAAAAAGTATATCATTTTAGAAGTTGAATTAATGCCATGGTTTTTAGGTGATAGTAAAAGAAGCTTCAAAGGTTATACAAATACAAGATGTTGGTACTGGTAGGAGTTGGAGACATGGTAGTGAACCACAAACTCCAGCTCAGATGAGATCCAGATCTTTTACAGATGGATCAAATTTTTTAAGATCAGCATCAAGAAATTGGAAGGTAATCAATCCACTAATCATGTAATTTTATAGTGTTTAAAAACCAATTAATATTTGTTTTTTTTTTTTTTGCCACTTGGAAGAATTCACCTCGACCTCCTTTACAAGAACAGAGAGGGTTGAATCATACAGATGTCATAATAAACAAAATGGTCCAACTCAGCAAATCCATCAAGGTACCTTTTTTTATTTAACCTTCTAAAGAAAATAGTAATAATAGTATATTTGTACACAAATAAATGACTTGAAACAAAAACAAATTTGGTAATGTTATTGTTGGTTTGTTTTGGCTCTAAATTACCAGAAACTGGAGGGGATTGTAGAAAAGACTCAAGCTACCCATGATTATGAAAGCAGATAGGCGAAAGATTGGAGAAATAGAAAACGGGTTTCTTGTAAATTCTAGGGCTCAGATTTTTTGGAAGGGTTGGTAGAGCTTAGAATTAAACTTGATGATGTATGATTCATTTACGATGAAATAAAAGAATTAGATCTATTGGGAAAAGGGAGTCTCTTTGTTTTACTTTGATGATTTATAATTCAACATTTTATTTAATTTGATGGTGTATAATTAGATCTATTTGAATCAATGCTCTTAAAATTTCTTTCTTTATAAATATGTATTTATGTTTATTGAATTCTTCAATCATCTACCCTTCTTAATAAAAAAAGAGTAGTTACTATGCCACATGTCATTTTCTTATAATTTTGTTTTTTCTTTCTCCTGTTCTCTAAAAAAGACATGTGTAATTTTCAACAATTTTACTTGCAAATTTAAATAAAATTCGTAATCCTTAACTAATTGGGATTGATCGTAATCCCTCAAAATCAGTCTGTTTGACAATTATCGGATTCTATTCAAATTCAAAACTTAAATCAATCCATAAATCTACCTTATTGCACTCCTTTAACATATGTTTGCAGAGTGCAAATCACTTTGAATATGAAGGAAATAAAATACGAAAAATTGGAAGAAGATCTTCAAGAGTGTCGACATTTTGAAGTACAATACTATTCATAAGAAAGTATTGGTGCGATCGTAGTATTATTTCTTCTACTATGCTAATTACGTTCTGGAAATTACACTATCACCGATTTCACAAACACTTCAAACAAATGGATTGCCGGAGCACTTGCACTTCCTGCTGCAGATTCAAACTAGCTTTCAGATTCCATGATTCTTAATTTCTTATGATCTTATTCTCTTCCTTGTAGAGGTTATTGATATGTGTAATTTCATTACAGCATACATGCTTCAGGACCAAGAGGCATAGGTAGCACAGGTATTCGACTAAATGCCATTATCATTTTCTGTGATTTTATCTTAACAAACGATTACTTCTCTTTCCAAAGATGGAGCGAACCTTCATTGTGATAAAGCCTGATGGTGTGCAAAGAGGACTGGTAATTTACTACTTTAACCCTCAATCCCTCATACTTGTCAATGCACCGATCATTTGAGCTTTAATTCTTTTCCAGATTTCAGAGATTATCAGTCACTCATGAGTCTCACCATTTATTTTTATTTATTGTGATAGTCTACCTTCCTGTATTTTGTCTATTCTCTAAGGGGTGTTCTTGTAATTATTTCTTTGTATATAAAGATCAGATCTCCTGCCCTTTTCTGGCATGGAGAGTTTCACTCTCATGGTATCATACGCCTAAGATCCTACCCTTTCTTCTTCCCTAAACAATGGTGTCGTCTTCCTCTTCTTCTTCCACAATAACCTTCCTTCCCATGAACACCCTTATGTATCTAATCACCATTCGCCTCTCTCCTTCAAACTACCTGTTATGGAAGAGCCAATTAACTCCTATTCTCACCCATCAGAATCTGTTGGGTCACGTTGATGGCACCTCTGCTGCCCCCCTAAACAATGGTGTCGTCTTCCTCTTCTTCTTCCACAGAAACCTTCCTTCCCATGAACACCCTTATGCATCTAATCACCATTCGCCTCTCTCCTTCAAACTACCTGTCAGGGAAGAGCCAATTAACTCCTATTCTCACCCATCAGAATTTGTTGGGTCACGTTGATGGCACCTTTGCTGCCCCGCCCACAGAAGTTCTTGTTGACAATAAGCCCTCGCCAAACCCGGCGTTTGCGGCCTGGCTTGCTGCTGATCAGCGCGCTGTTATCATTCTTCATGCCTCTCTTACCGAGGAGGCTTTCTCTGAAATCGTTGGTCTTGATACCGCTCAACAAATTTGGGTAGCCCTTGAGTCTACCTTCAACAACTCCTCTGTTGAATGTATTCAAAACCTCCGTGATCAGCTTCGCCAATTTTCTAAAGAAGCATCTACTATTACCGAGTATGGCCGTAAATTCAAGACAATCTGTGATCAATTATCGGCGCTTGGTCATCCTGTGGAGGAATCTGACAAGATTCATTGGTTTTTGTGTGGTCTTGGCAGTTCATTTGAGTCTTTTTCAACAGCTACTCGAGCCTCTCGCACCCCCCTTCTTTTTCGTGATCTCCTTGCACAGGCTGAAGGGCACGAGTTATTTCTCAAATCACTTCATGGGTCTGCTGCTCCAACTGTTGCGCTCACTGCCCAATCTCGTGAAAATTCTGCTACTAGGGGCCGTGGGGGTCGGTCCTCTCGGGGTGGTCGGGGACGCGGTCTCCGTTCTCCTCACTGTCAATTGTGTCGCATGAATGGCCATTATGTCAATGTGTGTCCTCGGCTTGCTACTTATGCTACCCATCCTCCCACCTCTGATTATCAACTTGCCAAAGCGTTTCATGCTCAATATCATGTTTCTTCTGCTGGACCTGATTGGTATGTTGACTCCGCTACGACTGATCATATGACCTCTTCATCCACATCAGTGACTCATGCCGCACCATATTCAGGCCCCAATCAAGTTATCTTTGGGAATGGTCAGGTTCTTCCCATATCACATATTGGGCACTCCTCCTTTAATAATACTATCCGCCTTCGGGATGTCTTGGTTATTCCCAAGATTACTAAAAATCTTTTATCTGTTAGCAACTTAACCACTGATAATAATCTGAATGTTTTGTTTTCTCAACCATATTTCTACATTCAGGATAGGACAACGCGTCAAGTTCTCGCGCAAGGTCGGTGTGATCGTGGCTTGTATGTTCTCTCTACTAGTCCTCAGGCTCTTTTTGTATCCACCAAGTCGAAGTTGAAAGCGTCTTCTGAATTATGGCACTCTCGATTAGGACATGTGTCCTTTGACACCATTTTACTTTTAAATAAACAGGGTCGCTTATCGGTTACCTCTATTTTACCAAAACCGGTTGTGTGCTCTCTTTGTCAATTGGCTAAAGCACACCGCTTACCTTTTGTTATTAATGAAAAACGGTCATTACATGTGTTGGACTTGGTGAATTGTGATTTGTGGGGACCATCTCCCGAATGTTCTGTTGATGCTTACCGATATTTGTTGCTTTTGTTGATGATCATTCCCGATTCACGTGGTTTTACCCTCTTCAAACCAAATCTGGCTTCCATGCAATATTGGATGTATTTCTCAAGTTTGTTCAAACCCAGTTCTCACGCAAAGTCAAGGTTTTTCAAACAGATGGTGGCACTGAATTCTTAAATCACCACGTTCGCACACTACTTGAAAATAATGGAACATTTCACCGGGTTTCTTGTCCATATACTCCTCAACAAAATGCTCGTGTCGAACGCAAACACCGACATATTGTTGAAACAGGGCTTGCAATGTTATTCAATGCTCACATTCCTCCATCATATTGGGTTCATACATTTAGTACTGCGATTTATATAATCAATCGTCTACCTACTTCAATGTTGGATAATAAATCTCCGTTCGAGCTTGTTTTTCATCGGGCGCCAACTTATGACCACTTTCGGCCTTTTGGATGTCGTATTTTCCCTTACTTACGTGACTATGCGGATCATAAACTATCTCCGCGAAGCCTTCCGTGCATTTTTCTGGGTTACTGCTCGCGTTATAAGGGTTATCAATGTCTTGATCTGGTGTCGTCCCGCATTTATATTACCCGACATGCCAAGGTTGATGAGCAGTGCTTCCCGCTTTCTGATGCTACGTCTGGAACTCCAACAACAATGTTAAGTTTGACATCTTTTTTGGATGATCCCTCATGCTCACCAGTTACTCCAACTGTTTCGTCTGTTCCGGCCTGTTCTTCACCATTGCGTGCTTATGGTCTTTGTGATGACATGTCGTGCTCACCCTTTGAACCTTCATTCGTCAGTCCGGATTCCTCAGTTGATTCGGTGTCTCCATTAACTCCGAACCAACCCCAGCCTAATCCATCTTCAGCACCGGTTTCACCTATTGCTCCTTCAGCGCCGGTCTCACCTGTTGGTCCTTCAGCGTCAGTCTCACCTTCAACATCGACTTCTCCCTCCGCGTCGACCTCGCCTGTTGTTGCAGCTCCCGACTTCACCTGTTGTTGTCGTTCCGGCTTCAAATGTTGGACACCCAATGATCACTAGAGCCAAGGCTGGCATTTTTAAACCAAAACATCGGGTCGATTTGGCTCACACATCTGCATATGCCCTTTATTCAGCGTTGTTTGCTTCCACTGATCCAAAAGGGTTCAAGTCCGCTGCCAAACACCCCCACTGGGTGACTACCATGCATCAGGAAATATAGGCGCTCCACCAGAATAATACATGGACATTGGTCCCCCGACCCGAACATCATAACATAGTGGGTTGTTCAGGACCAAATATAATGTTGATGGTTCGATTGAAAGACACAAGGGTCGTCTCGTTGCTCAGGGATTCAGTCAAGTTCCAGGGCTTGATTATTCTCAAACCTTCAGTCCGGTGGTTAAGGCCTCAAGTGTGCGTATTGTTCCATCATTGGTTGTTCTTAATAACTGGAAACTTCACCAGCTTGATGTTAACAATGCTTTCCTTAATGGTGAGCTATCTGAGCTCGTGTACATGGAACAACCTCCTGGCTTTCAGGATGCTACTTTTCCTCATCATGTGTGTCGTCTCAACAAAGCTCTATACGGTCTTAAACAGGCTCCGCGGGCTTGGTTTCATCGGCTCAGCACCTTTCTTGTTACCAGCGGGTTTGTGTGCAGTAAGGCAGATACTTCCTTGTTTGTGTTCAAACGGGGTTCGTGCATTTTGTACTTACTTGTCTACGTAGATGATTTAATTTTGACAGGAAATGACGATAAGGTCCTCAAGTCTTTTGTCACCAAGTTACATGCTGAGTTTGCCATCAAGGATCCCGGGCGCCTTAATTTCTTCCTTGGACTTGAAGTCATATATACTGATAATGGCTTGTTTCTCAGCCAATCCAAATATGCTCATGACATTCTCCAACGAGCAAACCTCCTTGATGCCAAACCAGCTACCACCCCACTTGCTTCCAATGCCGCTTTTGTCACTAGTGGTGAGCTATTTGATGATCCAACCCACTATTGGTCACTTGTGGTTGCCGTACAATACTTGACAATCACTCGTCCTAATATTTCTTATGCAGTCAACCAAGTTAGTCAGTTTCTACATGCTCCTACACGCTGTCACTTTCATAGTCTTAAGCGTATTCTCCGCTACGTTAAGGGTGCCTTGTCCTTTGGTCTCACTTTTTCGCGTCATCCCACCACCTCCCTTCTTGGTTATTCTAATGCGGATTGGGTTCTACTTATGGCTACTTTATTTTCCTAGGCGACAATCTTGTCTCGTGGAGTGCGAAGAAACAACCTACCGTCTCTCGGTCTAGATGTGAATCTAAGTATCGGGCCATGCATGGCCAACACCGCTGCGGAGATAATTTGGATCACTCACTTATTAAGAGAGTTACATGCTCTACCTCCGGATCGTCCTACACTCTTGTGTGACAACAAAAATGCCTTATTTCTCACACAAAATCCGGTCTCTCACAAACGAGCTAAGCACATAGAACTGGATTATCGTTTTATTCCTGAGCTTGTTTCTTCTGGGAAACTCCACACTACGTTTGTTCCTACCAAGCTCCATGTGGCTGATATATTTACAAAGATTCTTCCTAGACATCAATTCGAGTTCTTTCGGGACATGTTGTGCATCAGACCGCCACCGTTTCGCTTGAAGGGGATATCAGTCACTCTTGAGTCTCACCATTTGTTTTTTTTATTGTGATGGTTTACCTTCCTGTATTTTGTCTATTATCTAAGGGGTGTTCTTTTAATTATTTCTTTGTATATAAAGATCAGATCTCCTGCCCTTTTATGGCATGGAGAGTTTCACTCTCAGAGATTATAGCTAGATTTGAACGTAAAGGCTTCAAACTTGTAGCTATTAAACTTGTGGTACCTTCAAAGGCGTTTGTTGGGAAGCATTATCATGATCTTAAGGATCGTCCATTCTTCAATGGCTTGTGCAACTTCCTCAGCTCGAGGCCTGTTCTTGAAATGGTTGGAACTTAGAACTTATTAAAATAGTTATTGTTTTGGCATGAGAATTGTGAGGAAACAAGGAATTTTAATTACGCCATTGTTGTTGATTTATATATGCAGGTTTGGGAAGGAGAAGGTGTGATTAGATATGGAAGGAAGCTTATTGGAGCCACGGATCCATCCAAATCAGAGCCTGGAACCATCATAGGTGATTTGGCCATTGTTGTTGGAAGGTACTGTTTCTAATTTATAGTTTTTTAAACTACATGGTCGTTTCTTGAATCTAGCCACTGTTTGTTATTTCATTTTTCTTTGAACAAAATGACATGTTTCCAAATGATATATTGATGTTAGATACACATATTGTCATGTTTGTTTGGGTTGGTCAAACGATTAACAAAAGAGAAGTGTCAGGGAATTAGGCAAATACTCTTTTAGCCGTAAGTACTCTTTTAGCCCCCGTTTGTTGATTCCAGTTTCTTTGTTATATCTGTTAGGCTTTTCATGATGTAATGATGATTTTTTAAATTCCAGGATAGGATGACCAAGGAGCAATCAATGATTTAAAGTGTCACTTAAAATCATATACATAACACCTGATATTAAAATTTTAGTTTCATGAATTTGAAATGATCATAATCTAATCCTATTTGATTTTTATTACGTGGGATTAATCTTTCATGAAGTTAAAAAAAAAATCTTATATTGCTCAACTTTCATTGATTTATTTTGACCAGATGCATGTGCATTTCAATTTTGGACCCCTAAATGCATATTTACTTGTACAGATTCCTTTATGTTTAAGAAAGGCCTGTAACTTTTCATATTATTTTATTAGAAGATATCATTAATCTTTTATATTATTCAGTTTGTTGACTAAAATGAAACAATTCCTTTTATGGTGTAACGAGAAAGCTTGAATGATACATTTGCCTTGGGATCCTTATCTGAAGGTTGTTGCTCGATTTTGGGCGAAATTCATTCTTTCCTAATCCTCATTGATTGCTACTGTTTTTTTGTGTGATTATGTAATTCTTAGTGCATGATTGATTACACATGAATTGATTTCATATGAGCATTTGTTAAAGGATAGATTGAGAAATTGTAACCAATTTTCAAGTATAAAGATTCTTTTGAAGCTACAATCATCTTCTTTTGGAGTGCTAAAACATATACTCCGGTTACATATATCTAATATTTAATGTTTAATCATAACGATGATGATTGATGATAGAACAATATTTTGGTCCATTTATTGATCCTATATTTATTTTTGGTTTGTTCGGTGCATTCTTGCACTATTCAAGGTTTTTGGCAACAATGGAGATGAGCAAGTTGTTGCAGAAGTTTGTGAGTAACTTCAAATACTAGAAAATGAACTAAAAGTGAAAGGTACAAAGTTTTTTGGAGGTGACCACATTAACCTGGTTTACATGGCAGCTGATTTTATAGTCTATTGTATATGAACCTAATTTGGATCATTCTTTTCTTTGAACTGAATACAGTTGTAAACATGACAACTATGACATTAAATGTATATTTGTTCAGAAAGTCTCGACTACTCAAATAGTGCAACCAAAGGGCTTCTAGTCCAGCGGTACCGGATGTTGTCTTCCCTCCTAAAGGTTGAGGGTTCAAGTCTAATTAAAGACATAGGTGGTATTAGAAGTAGCTTATGACTAGTGTAGATTTGCCGTTCTTATACAAAAATAAAAAAAAAATAAAAAAAATAAAAAAAAAACTCAAATAGTGCAACTTTATTTAAGTTTCTTTTTTTTTCTTGGATATTGTTTTTACCCTTCATAGTTTTCTTGAAAAAATTTATATTTTTAGCATAATTAGTGCGATAGTTTTCTTGAAAAATTTATATTTTTAGCATAATTAGTGCGATAGTTTTCTTGAAAAAATTTATATTTTTAGCTTAATTAGTGCGATGTTTAGTAATTGTATTTTTCATTTGTATATTTTTTATATTCTTTCAAATATGTTTATTTAACAACTTAGTTTTATGATTTGTCTTATATCAATTTTAATTACTTGCTTTATTTTTATAATTAATTTAACATTTAATTATACAATATAATTTTTTTTCATTAATCACAAATAAAAATTATTTCACATAACTTTGAAAAAATAATTTCACATACTTTTTTTAATCAACAATTAAAATTTCACATATATTAAAAAGCTTAAATCTATTAAATAATATTCACACATAAAAAACCAACCTAGGTTTATCATATTTTTCTTAGCCTTGTGAGAACTAATTCTTCAAAGCCATAGCCGAATAACTTACACTTTTATATATTTTTGTTATAAAAAATCTAGGTTTACCACTCAAATCTATATCTATATAACTATGTTCGTCTATCATAATAAAGGCTAAAATACTCTTACCATATTCAAATATTGAATATGGGATATATACAGTAAAGTCCCGATATTTTCATCCAATTGACACGAAAGTCCCAAACTAATTTTTTTTACACAAAAGCCTGAATTACCGGCATTTATTGACCCGATTGACCTTTTTTGCCGGTAACTCATTTAATAGCTGGTAATCGAGTTGATGTGGCTACTAACGCTTACCTGGAAGATGACGAGGACATCATTAAATGAAGAAGGGTTAATCGAGCTGGAAAAACCTCTCTTTCTACTGCGACAATTCTAGGGTTTTTACTGTGAGGGAGATACGAATTCGAGTCCGAGGGAGATACGAGTTGGAGCCTTGAAGATGGAAGGTGTGTTGGACTTTGACACAATCGACGTGGAACTAGATGAAGACCTTCTAAAGAAACAGAGTAGGAGATGTAGAGATGAGTTCTTGAACTCACTGTCTCTTGACGATGAAGATGAAGACTTCATAATCCCATTATTCAAGAATGTTGAAGATGATGAAGCACCCGTGGAAGAAGAACCTTTGGATGACGAACAGGAGGAGGAAGAAAATGTAGATGAAGTTGTGGATGAAGAGGAAAATAATAGTGAAGCTCAGTTTAAATATTTCACACATGATCCAAACGTGAAATGAAATAGAATGAAACCTCAAGAGGGAGAAAGGTATGAATCTCCACAGCAACTTAAACTCTGTTTAACAAATCATGCCATATCTAAAGGTTATCAGATTAGGTTTAATAAATGTGATAGTGTTAGACTACATTGTGTGTGTGCTAGTGATCATGAGAAATTCGGTTGTCCTTATTATGTTAAAGCCTCTTGGATGAGCACTGAAAAGTCATTCCAAATAAAGAAAATGTATCCACATCATACATGTGTCAAGAATTTTAACAATGGAAAACTTATGGGACTGGAAGGAGATGGACAGGGTAATGAAGAAGAAGAAGGACATGGACAAGGAGATGGAGTGGAAGGAGGTGGAGATGGACAAGGTAATGAAGAAGAAGAAGGATATGGGCAAGGAGATGGAGTGGAAGGAGGTGGAGATGGACAAGGTAATGAAGAAGAAGAAGGATATGGGCAAGGAGATGGAGTGGAAGGAGGTGGAGATGGACAAGAAGGAGAAGGAGATGGAGAAGAAGAAGATAAAGAAGGGGATGAAGTTGAAGGAGTTGAAGCCGAAGATGTTCAAGGAAATGATGAAGGTGGAGAAGGAGTTGAAGTGGAAGCTGAAGATGTTCAAGGAAATGAAGAAGGTGTTCCAGTGAATGATCCAGTACAACAAGGGCATTTGGGAATAATATGCAACAAAGAACAAGGAGATCCTCAGAGAGGATCATTCTTCGGAAGCTGAAAAAGAAGGTGGTTGACCCTCTTGGAATAGGAATGTGTGAAGATAAGACATTAATTATAGATTAGGGATAGGGTTTATCATCTTTTGGTTCATATTTTGTAAAAGGTGGTAATATGTAAACTGTTGCATACCATCTTTTGGTTCATATTTTGTAAATGGTGGTACATATCCACTTATATTGAATCATATTTTTGTAAATGGTGGTACATATCCACTTATATTGAATCATATTTTGTAAACAACTACCGGTAATTAAGCAAGGGCATTAAGCAATGATCATAATTGGTCAATGTCATATTTTAGTTCAAATTTGATTGTGCAGGTTAGCCTTGGTTTGGTTATTGATAGTTATATTATTCATTTGTGGTTCATAGTTGTTGTACTTTGATTTCACCATAATTTAATACAACATAAGTAAAATGTTCATTACATTGCAAAAGTTAATACAACATAAGTAAAATGTTCATTACATTGCAAAAGAAACATCGTACATAGTGACTACATATCCCACTACATTATCTTAAAATACAAACCAAAACATAAAACCAAAATAAATCACAACATTGACCACCCTAAAAACAACACCACCTGCACCTTGCACTTGAGCTGGAACAACTTCTACTACTACTTCTTCCATTTGTTCTACAACATCTCCATTCCACCCATTGTGCAATTGTAAAGTGAAGGATCCACCCAATCAAAGAATTTGCAATCTTTTACTCAAATCCTGCATAATCCAAGATTAAAGAAAGAAAAAAAAACTAAAAGATGAAGAATTTCAACATTAACAACTAACCCTATAATTTGGGCATCCAACAAATCTTCTTCCAGGATTTCCTGTCTTCCATGAAGTCCACCTTCCAACTAAGTCACCACAGTTGCAATGTGTCCTTTGAGGGGGATTAAACATACTCACAGCCTTGCTTCTAACAGATGAAGAAGACAAAATTCTCATCTTTTCCTTTGAAAAATACGAAGCTAGGGTTTATAGGGATTGACAGTATGGTGCTTAAGTAAGGTCGACAACACTATATAAGCCTCTCATTTAATAAATCAGTGGTCCTCATAAGCATTTCCTGTGGTCCTCATAAGCATTTCCTCAAAAGCCTAAATTACCCGCATTTGGTGCCACGTCACTAAGTAAACAGGCTGCATCAGCAAAAAAGGTCAATTGGGTCAATAAATGCCGGTAATTCAGGCTTTTGTGTCAAAAAAATTTAGTTTTGGGACTTTTGTGTCAATTGGATGAAAATATCGGTACTTTGTTTTACTTTTCCTGCATACACAGGTTCAAATATTGAAAATACAGATAGATACTAACTGTTGTACATTCCAAATACATTAAAGTACAAATAACCACAAAGTTTAGATCAATCTACATACGTAAAAGAATCAAATACCAAAAGAAATTTTAATTTTATATAAACACAGGCATCATAGCAATTACAATATATTTTTTAATTTTAAAAAGAAAGCACATAATAAAATTCATTCCCATTGATTTTTGTTATATTTACAAAATTTTGTAAACAGCAGACGTTTTGTTACAGTCTAAAAACAAACACAATCGGATATAGTTGATCCTCACGGAACTGACCCAACAAGTTCCAGGTCCAACCAAGACGACCTGCTGGTCCAAATGAAGACTTCTTGTACCAATTTAAAAGATTAAAATAAACTAACAAGTTTATTATTAAATAATTATCTCCAATAGTAATGAAAATTAAGGGACGCATCGTAATTTAATCTCCCCAAAGACAAAATAACATCTGATATTTCTTTAATCGATCAAAATCAAGATAGAAAAAAAAACAAAAGAAGTGCATGAGATTTCCTTACTTAACATTACTGCCTATTCAATTCATAGATAGAAACATGGATACTTTACAGAAAGGTTTTTAAAATACTTAATTATGATGCCAAGAAATTTGATTTGTAATCGTTGTTATTAATGTTTGTTTGAACTGGCTACTTACAAAGTATTTTGGTTTGAAAAATGCACATGTTGGAAATGCTCTTAAACATTTAAGTTTCTCAAGGTTTAATGATTAGCAACTCATGCTCTATTTAGAAGCTGTCATTAAAGGTTGTTTGTTTTATCACTGAGCGGTTGAAGTCATGTTTGATGATAATGACATGTTTGATGATGAAGAGAAGAACCATCAGAAACCAAATATTTTATCCCCAAATGCTAGTTAAAGCCATACGGTCCGCATCATGGTTTGATATCTCCTTAGAGAAATCCCATCATCTGGATCTTCTCTTGATCCATCACAGTCAACGAAATAAAATCAAAAGGAAAATATCATTTATCAAACAAAAAAACAGGAATAAAAGAAAGGGCTCAGAAACAAAATATGGGTAATGAGAAAGTTTGTCGATCACAATGAATTTCAGAGTGGTGCATGACTTTCCTAGTTTATCGTCAATGCCCCCTATCTATCAATCAACCTTTGCAGAAACAAAATATTAATATTTTGAACTTAGCTGTTCAGTAGTTTCGGAAAGATAAAAAGTACTTCCAGATTTTACACACATCTGCTCAGACTTAAAGGAATCTCTGAAGTCTGACATGTGATTGGTTTCATAAATCATCAAAGCAGATAAATTTTAACAAATCAGACATAACACATAGGATTTTGAAAATCCAAAACAATAAATATACGCCCAAAGTAAAGAGAAAAGGAAATAAGATCGAATATCGAGAATGGAGATCAGAGTTTGGTTAATAAGTTGTCGGTCACGGTAAATTCAGAAACACGGACCAATGAATTGATCATCATATCTCCAATTACACGAACGATGAACGTAAATAAGAATAAGATCATAAGCAAAAATCTAATCAATTGTTCAACATCAGAGACTTAAATACTATAAGTAATCACGAACACATAGTTCGATCATTTTGTTGCAGTTATTTCTCTCATCACTTGACGAACAGAACAAAAATAATACCTATCTACAACATCCAGATTACCTGTAGACAGTAGAGCACCCTATGCCGCGGGTGTCTTGATAAACCCTAAGACACTGTATGAGCTGATGAAAGATGAAAACGCCGGTGGTAGGTTTTATAGAGGAAACGTATGGTTTATGGTGTAAAACTGTGAATGAAAGAAACCCTAGACCCTAGTTGATAAGTTAGACTGGGCTTCTGGCCCACTGTAACCTGTTGCATTTGAACGATTTTTATTTTTTACAGTGATAAAGCGATAATAGATAACCAAATCTTCAGCCAATTCTTAATATTTTTGTCCAATCTATAAAAATATTTTAAAATATATCTTACTATATTATTATATAAATCTTACTATTTCTAAAAATAGATTTAAGACGTCCTAATTATTAAGCTTATAATACAAATAACAAAGCCAATCTTATCTTATTCTTTAATTTCTGTTTCATTCAAAAATTAAAAAAAAAATGCAATAATAGAAATTGTCCACTTTCCCCACGTGCTATAATCAATTTATGCTTTACATCCGGTCAAATAACTGAATCTGTCAAAAGTCAAAATTGAAATCCGTTATCTTCTCCTGATCTCGCCTGTTACCATCATCAACCCATAATCTCCACCATAATCTCCGTTCACCCGATTCAAAATTTGAATTGAGTCTCTTCAAGAATCACTTTAAAAACTCCAGCACCCACACTCTTTCCATATTATTTTCATTTCTCTCGCTTTTCATTTCTCTCGCTTATCTATCACAGACTTTGACCCGGTCCTTTAATCTGTGATGAAGTCATCTTGAAGCCGGAGATCCCGGCAAAAATCTTTGAATTCTGGCCTGCCCTCCCCTTATATCAGGCGCTCTTCTCCTTTGGTGATATAATTTCCATTTCTCAACAATTACGGTTTCTTTCTTGGCTTGCACAACCGCTACCAGCGGTTCCCTATCGACTGCGTCTTCTGCGACTTCTTCTCCCCACTTCCTCAGAGTCGGTATTCAGTTTCCTTCCAAAGACTTCTTCAATCATCACGATACGGAGGCTTCTTCGGTTTATAACTTCTTCGGTTTTATAACTCCCAAGAAGCAGGCAATCGTTTACACTCTTTGTAATCAATTTTGCAATTTCACTGTTTATTACCGAATTGGCTCCTTTAGTTTTTTGTGCAGATTACATTTCGAATTCAAGTTTACCAATTATTGGTCAATTGTTAGATATAAGTGTAATGGACGCCATCTTTTAGTTTATATTGTTCATTTTGATAATTGGGTTTTTGCCCCTTTGGCTGGTTTCCTCATTAGTGCTTTGGATTGGTAAACATTCCTCTGTTC